AACCGGCACAACAATCCACCTGCCTACACTCCCTGAGTGCTGGGGTTTCTGCCCCATGCTTCAATGTCTAGATTTAATGGGGAGCTAGAGCTCTGAACTCAGGTCCTCATGCTCACGCAGAAAGCGTTACTGCTGAGCCATCTCCCTAGCCCTTGTTTTGTATTTTGGTTTTTATTTGTTTGTTTGAGACAGGGTCTCCCTGTAACCCTGGCTAGCCTGGAACTCCCTTTGGCGACCAGGCTGGCTTCAAAGTCATAGAGATCTGCCTGACTCTACCTCCCAATGCTGGGATTAAAGGCATACACCACCATTCCAGGCAATGCCAAACATTTTAAAAATATTTCATTTATGTGTGTATATGTCTGTATTTGTCTGTGTGAATGTATGTACACGTGTGTTCAGTCTCCATGGAGCTGAATCCCTTAGAGTTACAAGTATTTGTGAGCTACCCAGCATGGGTGCTGGGATCCAAACTCCAGTTCTTATGACTGAGTAGCAAGCCCTCTTAACCACTGATCCATCTCTCCAGCCCCATTTGTTCTGCTTTTTATTTTTATTTTTTATTTTTTGTTTTGGAAAGGGCCTCCCTAGTCCCAGTGTACCCGAAGTCACCATGTGAACCAGGCTGGCCTTGATCTCACAGAGATCTCACAGAGATATGCCTGCCTCTACCTCTCAAGGGCTGCGATTAAAGGTGTATACCTTCATGCGTAGTGGTGTTCTGTTTTTTGAGACAGAGTATCTTGTAGCTGAGGCTAGCATTTAACCTCTTATGTTGCCAAGGATGACTGAATTTCTGATCCTCCTTCCTAAACCTTCCCAATGTTGTAATTTCAGATGTGTCACCACACCTGGTTTATGCAGTACTGAAGGACTTTCTATATGTTAGGCAAGCATTCCACCAACTGAGCAAAATCCCCAGCCTTTTGTCTTTCTAATAAAAAAAAATTATTTATGTTGCTGTGGCTCACGCCAGTACTCAGGAGGCAGAGGCAGGCAGATCTCTGTGAGTTCAAGGCCAGCCTGGTCTGCATAGTGAATTCCAGGCCAGCTGGGGCTACAGGGAGACCCTGTCTCAAAAAGACCCCCCAAAAATTATTTATGGGGCTAGAGAGATGGCTCAGTGGTTAAGAACACTGGCTGTTCTTGCATAAGACATGGGTTCAAATCCCAGCACCCACAAGGCAGCTAACAACTGTCCGTAACTCCAGTTCCAGGGAATCCAACACTCTCTTCTGAACTCTGTGGGCATTGCATGACACAGGTGCACCTTCATACATGCAGTCAAAACACGGATGCATACACATAAAATAAAAATAATAAATAAAATATTTTGGTCTTTTTGAGACAGGGTCTCCCTGTAGCCCCAGGTGGACTGGAACTCACTATGTAGACCAGGCTGGTCTTGAACTCACAGAGATCCGCCTGCCTCTGCCTCCCAAGTGCTGGGATTAAAGGCGTGCGCCACCACGCCCGGCAAATTATTTATTTTTATATGATGTGTATGAGTGTTTTGCCCACCATGTGCATGCAATGCCTGCAGAGGCCAGAAGAGGGTTTTGGATCCCCTGGAACTGGAGACAGTTTTTAACTACCATGTACCCACAACCTGAGTCTGCTGCAAGGACAGCCAGTGCTCTTAACTGCTGAGCATCTCTCCAGAACCTCTAATTTTTTTTCTTATTTCTTTTCCTTTTTTTTTTTCTTTATGAGATAGGATCTCTCTGTAGCCCCAGCTGTCCAGGAACTCACTATGTAGATCAGGTTGGCCTTGAACTCACAGAGATCTGCCTGCCTCTGCCTCCCAAGTGCTGGGACTAAAGGTGTTCACCACCACAGTGGGCGAGTCCCACTAATTTTTAAAGGAATCTCCACACTGTTTCCCAGAGCTACTGCATGCAGCATTTTGCCGCTCTACCTGCTCCAGCGTTCAATTTCTCCACGTCCTTGTCAGCAGATTGCTTTCTGGGTCTTTTGAGATTTCTCCCTCATTTTGGATAGAAGCCCTGGCTGTGAGGTGGTATACCCTTTGCTCTTAGTGGGAGGTGGGTAACACTTTTGGCCTGGGGCATTTATGTCCCTGGGGTTCTGCTTGCTCAGTCCACGTGGCTGATCTCCTGAGGGAGCACTGCTGATAAGAGCCAGCTATCTTTAGCCCTGGGGTTTAGATAAGACAGAACTGTAAAGAGCCTGCCAAGGTCATGGGCAAATTGCACAGCCAAAAACTGACCCAAGGTCTTTTTATTTATTTATTTATTTTTCCCTCAACATTGGACCACAGGCCTCCTGAGTTAGCACACTGGCTGCAAGCATTTTCCCCCACTGAGTTATTGCCCCAGCCCTGGCCCCAGTGTCTGGGCTTCTTTTTCTTTCAACACAGCCCTGTTAAGCAATTCATTGAGTTTAGGCCCAGAAAAGGTGGGTCACCTGCCAGAGTCACACAGCTGCCAGATGGTGACAGTGCAGTCCCAGCTCCAAAGGCTCTGGTGTCCAAAGTCTGAACAATTCCATTATTTTTTTTTACCTTTTCTTATTGTTTTGGTTTTGATTTGCTTTAATTTTTTAAAAAATTATTGTTTCTTTTTTCAAGACTTTAAATTTTTTTATTATTTTTATGAGTATGCATGTATTGCCTGCATGAGGGTAAGTGCACCCATGTCGTGCAATGCCCGAATTGGTCAGAAGAAGCTGTTGGACACCCTGCGACTAGAGTTGTTAGGTGCCATGTGGGTGCTGGTATTCGAACCTGGGTCTTCTAGCAAGAACAACCAGTGTTCTTAACAGCTGAACCATCTCTCCAGTCCCCTATTATTTGTTTCTTTTTTTTTTTTTTTTTTTTTTTGGTCTTTTTGAGACAGGATCTCCCTGTAGCCCCAGCTACCCTGGAACTCACTATGTAGACCAGGCTGGCCTTGAACTCACAGAGATCTGTATTTGTTGCTTTTAAGACAAGGTCTCCTTGTAGCCCCAGCCGGTCTAGAACTCTCTATGTACACCAAGTTGGCCTTAGTCTCACAGAGATCCACCTGCCTCTACCTTCCAAGTGCTGGGATTAAAGGTGTGCGCCATTACACTTGCTCTTTTCTGTTGTTAATTTTATTTAATTTATTATTAGTGGAGTTGGTGTGTCTGTGTTTGTGTCCAGTGTGTGTGTTTAATGAGAGGGTTTTTTTTTTTTTTTTGGTTTGTTTGTTTGCCTTTTTTTGAGACAGGGTCTTCCTGTAGCCCAGTTGGCCTGGAACTCACTATGTAGACCAGGCTGGCCTTGAACTCACAGAGATCTGTCTGCCTCTGCCTCCCAGGTGCTGGGACTACAGGCATGTACCACCACACCCGGCCTCAATAGCAGGTTTTAATTATATTATTATTTTTAGCTTACATGTATGAATGTATTACCTGCATGCATGTAAGTGCACCTGCACTGTTACAATGGCTGCAGAGGGCAGAAGAGGCTGTCAGATCTCCTGAAACTGGAGTTATGGATGGTTGTAAGCCACCATGTGGGTGCTTGGATTTGAACCAAGGTATCTGCAAGAGCAGTCAGTGCTCTTAACCATTGAGCCATCTCTCCAGTCAGAAGAGGTTTTAATTTTTAAAATATATAAAATATATTTATTTCCATTTTATGTGAATGCACCACATGCATGCAATACCTGAAGAAGCCAGAAGATGGCGGTGGATCCCCTGGAACTGGAGTTACAGATCCGTTCTTAGCCACCATGTTGATCCTGGGAAATGAACCTAGGTCCTCTGCAAGAGCAGCCAGTGCTCTTAACCACTCTCCAGAAACAAGACAGAGTTATATTTTGTAACTCGGGCTAACCTGGAACTCACTCTGTACCCCAGGCTGGACTAAACTCATTATAGTCCACCTGCCTTAGCCTCTGGTCTGGAGTCCTAGGCTTACATGTATGAAACACCATGCCTGGTTTTAGTTTTTTTGTTTTATTTTGTTTTTCAGGTTTGATATTTTGTTGTACTTTTGTTTTGGAGACAGTCTCCTGCTGTGGCCAGGCTGGCCCGGAACTCATAACATCCCTTTTGTCCCCACTACCAGAGTACATGTGTCAGCCACCGTGCTAGACTCCTACTTAAGATAATTTGAAGAAACAGAACTATGAACGTGTGTGATGGCACAAGCCTGTAATCTCAGTACTTGGAAAGTAGAGGGAGAATTAGCTCTTGGCGAGTCAAGACTAGCCTGGGGTACGAGACCCTGTTTGAAAAAAGTCCAAAAATTAATGAATCACATTATTGTGTAATAAAATAGCTCTAAAATTAAGTTTTTTAAAGTCATTATAAAATAATTCCAGCACTCGAAAGGCAGAGGCAGGCAGATCTCTGTGATTTCGAGGCCAGCTTGGTCTACAAAGCGAGTTCCGGGCTAGTCAGGACTACTTAGTGTGACCACTCAGGCCCTAGATTCCTGGCGCCAGAGCAGAATAAAACTCAAAGGTCCGGTACTTTCAAGTCTACGTGTATCAAACAAGCTGTCTGAACACACCTTCTCCCTGCCATCACCAGTCCCAGAATGCATCGCAGGCTAGACCCCAGGGGTCGGTCATCACACCCCGACATCACCGCTCGTCACGCGTAACAAAAAATTCTGCGCATGCGTCCCACGCCAGCCTTGAGGCCTCTCTGACGCGCCCTCTCTCCGCGACGATTGGTTATCCCACAAGATTGACAGAAGGCTTTGTGCGCATGCGTCCCGGACGAGCCAGGCACAGCCTCTCGTTCTGACACGCCCTCTCATCGCTCTGGTAGAGAGAGGTACCGGTGCGCGTGCGTCCGAACCCAGGCAGGCGCGCGCTCCTTTCTGCCACGCCCTCTCCGCGACGATCGGTTTTTGCTTAGGACCGATAGAACTCACGCATGCGCGCCGAGTCAGACGCGGCGCACTCTCGCTCAGGCACGCCCTCTCACCACGCTGATTGGTTGCTACGTATGACCTAGCCAATGAGACTTAGGCTTTCCGGAAAGGGGCGGTACTTCCGAGAAGACAAATCTGCGCGGGTTCGTGCTCCTCTCGCAGTCATGGCGGCTTTCCGCGACATGGAGGAGGTGAGCCACGGGCTGCTGAGTCTGCTGGGAGCCAACCGCGCCGAAGCGCAGCAGCGAAGGCTGCTCAGGCGCCACGAGCAGGTGGTGGAGCGACTGCTGGAGACGCAGAACGGCGCGGACCGGCGGCTTCGGGGTGAGGGCCCTCCGCACCCCGACTCCCGGTTCCTCCAGTCCTAGTGGGAGCTCTCAGCCTCAGTTTTCGTACCAGTGAAATGAGCTTGGTGACTAACTATCTCTCCCTAGGGGTTAGAGGTAAATATAGGGATTTGCGAGGTCTCACCCCTGACTCGATCTTAAATGTACCTCAGGCTAGTATGCACCTCCTTGCCGCCGAGGCTGACTTGAAACTGGCAATGATCTTCCTGCCTCAGCCTCTCCAGTGCTGGGATTACAGGTTGGAGCCACCACGCCTTGTCAGCAAGTGTCGCTTGCTGTCATGTGTTCGGAGCAAAAAGTCTATGCCTTTCTCCTGGGTTTTGGTGGAATTTTTTTGTTTTTTGAGACAGTGTTCCTTTAGTCCCAGCAGGCCTGGAACGCCCCATGTCCCTATGTAGACCAGGATGGCGGTAATTTCACAGAGATTCACCTGCCTCTGTCTCCTGAGTGCACCACCACACTCAACCTATGGTGAGGATTTCAAAAATTGATATGGAAGCCGGATAGTGTGGCCTGTAATCCCAGCACTTGGGGAGTGGAGGCAGGATAAAAACTCAAGGACAGCCTTGGCTGCATAGTGACTTCTGGGCCAGTCTGGCTTGCATGAGACCCTGCCTCAAAACAAACAAAGCAAAATAACAGCTTTGGAGCTGGAGAGCTGGCTCAGCAGTTAAGAGCACTGGCTGCTCCTCCAGCAGACTCAGGTTCGGTTCCCAGCACCCACAAGAGGGCTAATGACCATCTGTAACTAGTTCTAGGAAACCCAACCCCCTCTTCTGGCTGCCACAGGAATTGCATGCATATGATACACTTAACATACATACAGGCAAAACACTCAAACACATAAAATAAAAAGATTTAAAAGAAAGAAAATTAAGTAATTAATTATAAAGCAAGTCTTCCAAGCCCTCCTCTACCCCAAACCAAATCATCCTCCCCTGAAGCAACCACTCCTCACTTTCCTGTTTTGTTTTTTTGTGTGTTTTCTTGAGACAAGGTCTCATGTAGCCCAGGCTGGTTTTGATCTTGTACAGGGGATGAGCCTGAACTCCTGATTGGCAGGCTTGGCAGCAAGCACCCTCATCTTCTGAGCCATTTCATCACCCCAGGTTTCACTCTTTTGAGATGGGTCTTACTGTGTACCCGATTGACTTGATCCTCTGCTGTAGAACTCGGGCTCTTGGAGCCGCACATGACGCAGTATACCTCAAAGTTCAGCCTTGTACTGCTTGTCAGAATTTAGTTCCTGTTATGGGCTGAATCAGTCCTTTTAAGTCTGTTGGCAGACTGAAATCTTTTTTTAATTTTATGTTTCTGAGTGTTTGCCTGCATATATGTAAGTGTACCATGTGCATACAATACCCATAGAAGCCAGAAGAGGGAGTTGGAGCCTCTGGAACTGGAGTTACAGATTGTTAACCTCCGTGTGGGCACTTGGGAACCCAGGTCTTTTACAAGAGTAGTCAGTGCTCTGAACCACTGAGCTCTTCAGCTCTAAGATCCATTCTGGTCTTGATCTACTCTTGGCTGTTCTGGAACTCACTGTGTATTTAGTGCAGTCTGACTCTCAGCAGTCTTTTGGTCTCAGCCTCCTGAAAACTGGCATTACAGGCATGTGCCACCACACTGGTACTAGGGATTGGACCCAGGGCCTTGTGTGTGCCAGGCAAGCACTCTGCCAAGTGAGCTACATCCCTAGTCCACAGAAGAATTTATTTACTTGATTTTTTTTTTTTTTTTTTTTGAGACAGGGTCTCCTTGTATCCCCAGCTGGCCTGGAACTCACTATGTAGACTGGCCTCAAATTCACAAAGATCCACCTGCCTCTGCCTCCCAAGTACTGGGATTAAAGGCATGCGCCACCACGCCCGGCCTTATTTACTTGATTTTTGAGATATGGTTTTGTGTAGCACAGGCTGGCCTTGAACTTCCTGGGTAGCCAAGGATGACCTCAAACTCCTGATATTCCTGCCTATCTCTCAAGTACTGGGAGTACAGTTGTGTGGAACCATGTTCAGCTTTCTGCCAGGAGAAAGAGAGAGAGAGGTATATACATAGACTGACCAAAGGTGAATGGCGCTCCCTTGAGAAAGGGTCTCACTGAACTGGGAGCTTGGTTGGCCCTCAGGAAACCCTAGTGGCCTCCCATCTCCACCTCCCTACCCCTAGGCCTGAGGTTGCAGGCTTGCTGTAACTATGACTCATACATGAATGCTGCGGATTTGAACTCGGGTGTCCATGCTGCATAGCAAGGACGGTCTTAATGCAGATCTGAATTGCTTATGCAGCTCATCACAGGCTGTCCCAGGAAGGCCATTCCTGATGTCAAAGACTCAGGGACCAGGGAGGAAAGTGGCAGCTGAGGACATTGAGGCTGTGCAGGAGTCTGAGCAGTAAGATGGGAAGTTCCAGGCCAGCTTGGGCTCCATAGCGAGACCATGTCTCCAAACATGGAGACCAGCAGCTACCAAGCCTTGCCTCCTTCCTTTCTTACTCCTCCTGTGCCGCCTCTCTTTCCTTTCTTTTTAAAGATAGGGTCTCAGCACTCAGGAGGCAGAGGTAGGTGGATCTCTGAGAGTTCTAGGCCAACTTTTCTACATAGTGAGTTAGGACAGCTGGGGCTACAGGGAGACCCTGTCTCAACGACAACAAAAAAAGACAGGTGGAGAGTGATAGAGGCGAATTTTGACCTCGCCTCCACACAGAAACATGCACAGGCATACACTTAACACACACAAAGACATAAAAGCAGTAGGGCTCAGCAGTTAAGAGCACTGACTGCTTTGCAAAGAACCTTGGTTCAGTTCCCAGCACCTACATGGTAGCTAACAACTATAACTCTAGTTCCAGGGAATCCGATCCCTGTTCTGGCCTCCGTGGGCATTCACATATGTGGTGCACTAATATACATGGAGGCAAAACACCATACACAATAGATAAAATAAATAAATGTTAAAAAAACAAACTGTGGGACTTGGAGAGCTGGCTCAGTGGTTAAGAGCACTGGCTGCTTTTGCAGGGGACCCGGGTTAGATTTCCAGCACTCACACGGCAGCTAACAACTATCTGTAACTCCAGTTCCAGGGGAATCTTAACGCTCTCTTCTGACCTCCACAGACATTGCATGACAGGGTGCACTTACGTGCAGGCAATACACTCATACACATAATTTTTTTTTTTTGGTCTTTTTGAGACCCTCTCAAAAAGACAAAAAACCCCAAAAGCAAGCTGTATATGTGGCTGAGGTCCGAGCTGAGGTGGTAGTTCTAGCACTTAGGAGGCAGAGGCAGAAGACTCCTAAGCTTGAGGCCAGCCTGGGCTACATACTTCCAGGCTAGCCAGGGTTTCAAATAGAAAGTCCCAACTGTGGTAATACATGGAGGGGACCCTGGGTTATCCCAGGACACTTAGTAAACTTTACTCCAGTAAATTTTGGTTCCTTATAATGAAAAGAGAGGTCAAGAAAGAGGGGCTGGAGAGATGGCTCAGCAGTTAAGAACACTGGTTCTTGCAGAAGACCTGGGTTCGAATCCCAGCAGCCACCCTTAACTCCAGTCCCAGGGGATCCGACAGCCTCTTCTGACTTCCACAGACATTGCACGACAAGGTGCACTTACCTACATGCAGGCAATATACGCATACACATAAAATAAAAATAATAAAAAGAAAGAAAAGCTGAGCAAGCCAGGGGAGCCAGCCAACCAGCAGTGCTCCGCCATGGTCACTGCCTCATTTCCTGCCTCAGCTTTCACTGATGACCCGAGCTGTAGCCAGATGAACACTCTTATTAGAGGTGTCTGCCACCACCATGCCTGCCCAGCAAGGGTCTGTGTCCTACACTGAACTAGAACTCTCAATCCTCTGCCTCCTTAGTGCTAGATTATAGGTGCACACCTTGATCCTTAGCATTTTTGGTTCATTAAAATGTATTCTGGCAGAGGAGCTGGGTGTGGTGGCACACGCCTTTAAGATCCTAGCACTTGGGCAGCAGAGGCAGGCAGGTGGATCTCTGAGTTCAAGGCCAGCTGGGGCTAGAGGTAAACTGTTTCAAAAACCAAAAAAAAGGGTGCTCTGGCAGGGACTGAAGAGATGACTCTGCTCTTGCAAAGGACCCAGGTTCAAATCCTAGCACCCACATGGTAACTAACAACTGTCTGTAACTTCAGTTCCAGGGCATCCAACACCCTCTTCTGTCCCCTATGGGCACTATACACATGGGTACATTTATACACATTCAAGCAAAATACTCATACACATTAAAAAAATTTTTTTAAATTTAAAACGTGTTCTAGTGAAACAGAAACACTGCATAGGTTCTAGTGAGTTTTTAGAAATTGATGAAGCCGGAGTGGCTTATGTTGATAGGGGATGGTACATGGCCTCTACTCTTGGGCAAAGGACAGACTCAAAGGAGCCCTCTTGTTTCTCACTGCAGAAACCCTGGCTGTGGAGGAGGAAGTAGCTCAAAGCCTTCTTGAACTGAAGGAATGTACCCGCCTAGGGGGTACCGAGCTGCAGCAGCTGGAGGCAGAGCTCCGGAAGACCATTGAGGAGGATGCCAGTCTGCAGGCCAGCCTCTCATATCCTTAACTGGAGTTGACAGTCTCCCTCAAAATCACACTTGGATGGGATTAGGGTACAGATCAGCAATAGGGCACCTGCTTAGACTCCAGTGAAGGTTGTGGGTGTGGCTCAGTGGTAGAGCTCCTGCCTAGAACCCCCTAGTAGGGGCTGAGGGCATGGATCATCTGCCTAGAATACCCCAGTAAAGGGCTCAGGTGGAGAGCCTCCTTGGCATGTGTCAGGTCGTACCTTCTATCCTTAGCACCATAGGACCAAAACGGGAACAGAATGCAGTGAGCACCTGGTGCTTTAAAGTAGTGACTTGTAGTGAGGTGACAAGTCAATGGCTCCTTCCTTCCCTCCCCACCTCCATCCCTCTTTCTAGAACCCAAACCCTTAATTGACCTCTTGTACTCAGCTGACCACAGAGCTGCAGGAGCTGAAGGAGCTGGAGGCAGGTCTGCAGCAGCAGGAGAGAGAAGTAGACAAGGACACCACTGTCACCATCCCTTCCGCTGTGTAGGTTCCATGGCTGAGACCTGGAGCCCTGCTCGTGGCTCTACCCTGCTGCTCTTGGTTAAGTTAGCACCATGGTAACTTTTCTCCCACATTCCTTGTGTAGGTACGTGGCCCAGCTCTATCACCGGATTAGTAAAATCGAGTGGGACTACGAATGCGAACCAGGCATGGTCAAAGGCAGTATCCTTTGAGGGGCTTGACAGAAAGCAGCAACCACAATATTAGAAACAACTAGCACAGGGTCCAGTAACTGCACTGATGCGCAAGTCTCAAAATAGTGAAGTTAGGCTCCTTAGGCGGTGTGACACACAATGTCCATAGCGGCATTACTCACCACAACCAAGTGTAGCGGCAACCTGTGTGCCTTTGAAAAGATAGATGGGTAAAGAAAATGAGGGATAGGCTGGGCGTGGTGGCTTTTAATCCCAGCACTTGGAAGTCAGAAACAGTCAGATGTCTGAGTTTGAAGCCAGCCTGGTTTACCTAGCGAGTTCCAGGTCAGCTGGGGTTAACAGGGAGAACGTATCTCAAAAAGACCAAAAAAATGTGGTATAACCATATGCTGGAGTATTATTCAGCCTTGAAAAAGGGATGAAGCTGGACATGGTAGTGCTTCCTCTTAACCCCAGCCCTAGGGAGGCAGAGACAGGTGAATTTCTCTGAGATTAAGGCCAGTTGGGACTACAGGGAGACCCTGTCTCAAAAAAACAAAACAAGCTGGGCGTGGTGGCACACATGCCTTTACCTATAATTCCAGCACTTGGGGAGGCAGAGGCAGGCGGATCTCTGTGAGTTCGAGGCCAGCCTGGTCTACACACTGAGTTCTAGGACAGCTGGGGATTTGTGGTATTTTCTTATGGTAGCCTAAGAAAATAATGCAGAGTTCCAGGATAGGAGTTACTTTAAAATTTTTAATTATGCTGGGCATGGTGGTGCACGTCTTTAATCCCAGCTCTCAGGAGGCAAGGCAGGCGGATCTCTGTGAGTTCGAGGCCAGCCTGGTCTACACACTGAGTTCTAGGACAGCTGGGGGCTACAGGGAGACCCTGTCTCAAAAAGACCAAAAAAAATGGAGGAAATTAGCCAGAAGATACAGTTGTGGCAGAAGGTTTGCCTAGGTTATAGGAAGCCTTGGGTCCCATTCCCTAGCTGGCTTGGAACTACTGTTTACCAGACTGACCTCAAACCCTTGTTTATCTTCCTGCCTTTACCTTCCAAGTGCCAGAAAAAAAAAAGTTGTTAATTAAAAAGAAATTAGGGATCTGGTGAGATGGCTCAGTGGGTAGGGGAGATTGCCACCAAAGTTCAGTTCTTGGGACCCACATGATAGGAGGAGAGAACTGTCTGACCTCCACTTGCCCCATGTGGCATGTGCACACACACCCCACAAGTGAGTAATGTAAATGACACATTTGTAACCCTTGCACTGGAGAGACTGGGGGAGGAGGAATTGTCCCAAGTTCAAGACCAGCCTGGACTATGTAGTGAGACCCCCATCTCAAAAGAAATTCAAATAAGTAAAAAGACCCTCTTTGAAAAGACAGGGGCTTTGGGAGGGGCGTTGTGCACCGTTTCCTTGCATCATGCCCTCAGTCCATCATGGCCCCACTGTGGCCCAGCCCATCCACCTGGACAGCACACAGCTCTCACAGAAGTTCATCAGTGACTACCTATGGAGTCTGGTGGACACTGTGTGGTAGGCAGTGCCACACCAGCTATGCACACAGTGGGGGCCAAGTGGACCTCAGCTGGATTCCTTCAAAATAAATAAAGCAAATCATTTTTCTTGTTTGTGTGTGTGTGTGGGGGGGGTGCATGCACATACGTACACCATGGTGTACCTGTGGGCATCACAGAATAAGTTCGCTTAATTTGAGACAGGGTCTCTCTGTAGCCCCAGCTGGCCTGAAACTGGACATATAGGCCAATAGACCAGGCTTGCCTCCAAGCCAGAAAGATCCACCTACCTCCAGCTCCTGAGTGTTTTGATTAAAGGCATGGGCCACCATGCTCAGCTCCCCCATCCTTCCCCCTGCCTTTTTTTGAGGTGCCTGGGAAACCTAGACACTCAGACACTCACTGGAAGCTTTTAGGCCTGTGTTCAAACTCCTGAGCCACACACCCAGCTGTGTTGCCCCGTTCGTTTCTCTGGAATGGGAGCTGAGCCCGTTTCTATTTTCAGCCTCCCCAGAGAAAACCAGAGCAGGCTTTTCTCTGTATGTGCGTGATGGTGTCTTGGGTTACCATAGGACGCTCCCTGGCCTCACCCTCAAGATCAGGGTACCACACGGCCTTGAAGGCCGCACCAAGAGCTGCAAGCCTGTATCTGTCAGCCCCATGCCCATGTCTGAGTCACCCCTGGACTTCGTACCTTTTATGCCAGTATGAGGCAAGGTTGGGGCAGAGTCCAAACAGCCTCTCTCTGTGCTGGCCCACCTGCAGGCCTTGGTGCTCAGGAGAGCGAGGAGGGATGGGGTGCCTCGCCACCAATGGGACCAGTGGGGTGGCTCAGTGAGGAAGTGTAATGCTGCCAAGCCTCATGACCTGAGTTTGAACCCTAGGAGCCACAAGGGAGAGGACTGTCTTGTCCTGTGCACATAGGCCATGGCACACATGCTCCCCTTCACACAAAACAAGGTGTAATTCTGGAAATCCCAAAGGCCTTTGTTTTCCCAAGGAGGCTGCGCCTGTCTTGATAGGATCACCCTAGGCACACTGTGGGACTGAACTGAGGAGGAGGTCAGTGAGGCCCAGTGTGGGTGGGTGGTTTCCCTCAGTCCACAGGGGCCTGCAGACGCTCTGGATCCTTGCATGCATATGCTCCAAGTCACTACCTAGCACTGACCGGCCACCCAAGACAATATGGGGACAGGCCACAGCCTCCCACCTACACCCCGTCCCTAGCCTGTTCCTCTAGAGAGCCTGGCTTCACAGAAAGGACCTGCCAACTCTCTTTATGCCAGCCAGAGGGAGGATGAAGATTTGAGTCTCCACCACCAAGGACTGAGGAACCCCATCACTGGCAAGACAGGCACCTCAGTGCTGATACAAGTCCATCTTAGAGATAAGGGAAACTGAAGCATGGTTCCAGCCTGCTTTAGGTCCCCAAACTTTAAAAGAGCATTCCAGCCGGGCGTGGTGGCACACGCCTGTAGTCCCAGCACTTGGGAGGCAGAAGCAGGTGGATCTCTGTGAATTCAAGGTTAGCCTGGTCTACATAGTAAGTTATAGGACAGCTGGGGCTACAGGGTTTTTTTTTAAAAAAAAAAAAAAAAAAAAAAAAAAAAAAAAAAAACACATTCCAGAGGCCGAACTGGTCACCTACTTCTAGTTCTAGGCTTTTATTCAATGGACAGAGGCCAGAGCACCAGCTTGTGGACATGATCTAGCTTGGCTTATGGAGACCAAGCCTTTTAGTGACTGGGCACTCTGGTTTGCACTGTGCTTGGGATTGGTCTATCCCCAGCTCAGCCCAGACTATCTAGTAGAGCCCTATTTACTGTGTTTTCTTGTGTTTTTATGAGAGTGTGATGTGGGGTGAGGGGCACGTGCCACTGTGTGCATGTGAAGGGGAGGACAGTTCAAGGGGTCTGTTCTCAACTTGCATCTACACAGGCACCAAGGATCAAACAGGTCACTAGGCTTATACTGCGAGCACCTTTACCCACTAAGCCATATCACCAGCTATTTACTCTGCTTTTGAGGTGTTGGGGATAGACTCTAGGGACTCATATATATACCACACTCTACCCCTGAGCCACGCCCCCCCCAGCCTTATTAACTGTCAAGTATGGATGTCTGTCCTTCCTGGCTCTCCTGTAGGAGCCACAACTTAAAAGGCATGATGTGGCTGGAATAAGCCAGGTGTGCCTCAGTTCATGTTATCTTGCAGATGAAGTCAAACCCACAGGAGCTGAAGAGATGACTCCAGCGGTTAAGAGCACTGACTGCTCTTGCAGAGGACCCCTGTTCGGTTCCCAGCACCTACATGGTGGCTCATAACTAGCTCTGGTTCCAGACAACCTGATGCCCTCTTGTGGCCTCCAAGAGTACCAGGCAGACGTGTGGTACACTTATATAATGCAGGCCAAAAGAAAAAACTTAAAGGCCAGGCGCGATGGCACTCACCTTTAAGCCTAATACTTAGGAGACAGAGGCCAACCTGTGAGTTTGAGGCCAACTGAAGCTATAGGGAGACCCCGTCTCAAAAAGACAAACCCAAAACAAAATATAGACCCACAGGAGTCAAAGGAATTGTCTCTGATTTTTTTGCCTGGTAGAAGGCAGAGCCTGTGGTTAGAGTTCTTAATCCCCAGCTAGGAAGTCCTTTCAACTGCTGATAAATGGCCCGAAGGAAGCAGTGCTGGAGGGGGCGGGCATGCAGAAGGGAGATGTCTTTTGAGCCCAGAACTGAACACAGAAGTGGGAGGATAGAAGTGACCACACAAGATGACAAATATGTGGAGATGGTTATCCAGGAGAAAGTGGGGAAGGAAAGGGCATTCAGGAAGTTGTCTTGGAGGAGGGGACCTTGATCAAGAGGCCCTGCAATCCACAGGGGCATTTGGTCCAGATTCCCAATGAATTGTTCCATATTTGGAATCTCTCTTGCTCTTGGTCTTTTTGAGACAGAGTCTCCCTGTAGCCCCAGTTGGCCTGGAACTATGTAGACCAGGCTGGCCTTAAACTCACAGAGATCCTCTTGCCTCTGCTTCCCAAGTGCTGGGATTAAAGCCACTGTGCCCAGCAAGAACTGTTCTATTAACCCAAGTTCCTTCATCTTGGAAGCAGTCAGGCCTGAGGAAGAGGGCAGAGCTGAGACAGAGGGCAGGAAACAGCTGCCAGAAGGGGTATTGTACAAGACACAGGAGTCTGGGGAGCCACTCTCGGCAGGCTCATGAGTGATAGGTCCTGGGAACGTCATCTTGGAAAATCACTGCCAGGGTGAGGGCAGAGGGCCAAGCCAGCTGCGGGACAGGGTCCCCCCCCCCCATCACTGCCCTCCTTGCCTGGAGTGCATGAGGCTCCAAGATGACTCACCACAGCAGCTGTGGTCTGAGACGCTGAGTCAGAAGGGATGGAGGCCTGTGGGGCTGGGGACAACAGGGAATAGTCACTGGTGTGTCAGCTTCCTCCTCCCATCTCATCCTGCACAGAGCTGTGAGCCCACAGAGATGGGGCAAGCAAGCCCGCTGCCCCCATCCCACCCTGAGCCAGCACATACTGGTATAATGTCTATGCCTGTCATTGGCTTTCCATTCTGAGCCCAGAGAACTTCAGGCAGAGAGGACAAGAAACCAGATAAAGGAGCCACTGTCCCATTGAGCCTCCCTTGGCTCTTGTCAGGCAAGTACTCTGCCACTAAGCTACACCCCAGCCCTGTGATGCACATTCGTAATTACTTTTGCTTTTGAAATAGTTTCATGTAGCTCAGGCTGGCCTGGAACTCACTATGTAGTGGAGGATGACCTTGAACTCCTCATCCTTTGGCCTCCACATCCTCAGGGTAAGGATGATAGGCCTGTGAGTAACCATGGTACCTGGTCTCACAGGAACTTTTTGAACAGAAAACAACCCATGTATTAGAAACTTCCATCACCTTACCAGGGAGCCCCAGCCAACCTCCCCTGCCCGCATGCTCCCATCTGCCTGACTTTCCACTGTGACACCTGCCAGTCACCCTGGGACCCTCCTGTGTCATATCCTGGATTCTTTCAATGGAGCAATCATGGAAGACCTGCGTGTAGCTAGCCTGGAGGCTGCACAGGCCCTGGAACTCAGTTTTCATTCCCATAGGCACTTTGGCTAGTTCCCAAAACAAAGAGAAAGAAACAAAGTGCCACCCTGTGGCTGCTGCAGAGGACAGAAGACATGTGTATGCATCTGCCTGGCTGTCTCCCCTACCTGTCTGCCTGTCTCCTAGCCTGTGTCTGTCTATCTCCCTGCCTGTGCAGATTCTCCCAATTCAATCTAGCAGAAGGTAGGGATCACCATCACGGTGTTTTCACTGGGGGGAAACTGAGGCTCAAGGCGCATGTGGTCACCCAGAAAATTACAGCAGAGCCAGGTTCTGAGCCCAGGTCAGTTGTCCGGTGTGTCTGCCATTGCTGCTTTTTCCCCCCAACCTCTTCCATCAACTTTTAAAAGATTTTTAGTTACCCTGGGCATGGTGGCACACGCCTTTAGTCCCAGCACTCAGGAGGCAGAGAAAGGCAGAGCTCTGTGAGTTCAAGGACAGCCTGGTCAACTTCCAGGCCAGCTGAGGCTACAGGGATACCCTGTCTCAAAAATACCAAAAAGAGCCAGGTATGGTGGCACACACTTTTAATCCCAGCACTCAGGAAGCAAAGGCAGACAGATCTCTGCAAGTTCAAGGCCAGCCTGGTCCAGGCCAGATGGCGCGACAGGGAGACCTTGTCTCAAAAAAAATCCAAGCCTCTGTAACCCTAACTACCTCCAGAAGTTCCAATTTTGGATACACACACGTGTGGTACACTTACATACATGCAGGAAAAACATACACATAAGTTTTTTTTAGAAATTAAATCAGGGTGGGAGAGATGGGTCAGCAGTTGGGAGCACTTGCTGTACTACCATGAGACTTGGAGTTTGATCCCAGCACCCACTTAACAAGGTGGGAATTCCCCACACCTGTAACCCTAGTTCTGAGGGAGCAGAGACGGGAGGGTGGCTGGGCTTGCTGACTTCCAGCATAGCTAGATCCTGCCTCAAAGAAACAGATGAGGAGAGGAGGTGACCCTATTTGACTTCCACGCATACACACAGGCATGTACATCCACATACATACATGCACCTGTGCACACCCATTCACGCAGGCAAATACACAAGCAAATTTTAGAAAAAAATTAGAGCCAGTATCCTTCACATGTGTATCATGACACATGGACTCCTACACACACACACACAAACACATATAAACACACAAAGAGCCAGGTGTGGGTAGTGGTGCATGTCTTTAATCCCAGCACTTGGGAGGCAGAAGCAGGCAGAACTCTGTGAAACTGAGTTCAGCCTGGTCAACTTCCAGGCTAGCTTGGGCTACAGAGAGACCCTGTCTCAAAAAAAAAAAAAAAAAAAATCCTAAAATAAAAGCAACATAAAGTTTTTAAAAAAGGAATTTAATCACAGTAAGATATTCAGGCTATAAGAACACCTAAACAGTGACTTCAAAAGCAGTTCCCCTCTCCCAAAAGCCTCTTTCTCTCTCTCACCTCAACTTGGAGCCTTGAGAAATGTCATCAACAAGCACAGCAACCAGGGTTCATGAAAATAAATAGATTCTAGACATGTCTAAATGTGACAACATTCCACGAATACAGAGCACAGTGCTTGGGTGCCTCATCTGCCTGGGGCTTCATTCACACACTCCCATAGGAACTTGGGCACAGCAACCTAGAGGCAGGCAGTTACCACAGTTCCCCGTATCAATAGTGGGACAATCCGGCCGGGCGTGGTGGTGCACGCCTTTGATCCCAGCACTCAGGAGGCAGAGGCAGGCGGATCTCTGTGAGTTCAAGGCCAGCCTGGTCTACAGAGTGAGTTCCAGGCAGCTGGATCTACAGGGAGACCCTGTCT